TACTTTTGGGGGTACTTCTGATAAGAGGAATGGCTGTGTCTATTGTTTAATGTTATATGGCCCCGGTTATGCACAGTATATACGTGACTGTAAGAAAATGGAAATGGAAAATAAAAACACATTTACACTAAGAAAGTTGCGTATCCAAAAGCTGCATGCCAGAGGGATTAGTGCTCGATGTGCAACTTTGTATGAAATAAGGCTAGCTTTAAGGTACGGTAAGTGACTCCCCTGGATCGAAAAAACTGCCAAACTTCCTGGGTACAGCTTCAACTTGAATTTCTTCCTCCAAAATATTGATGAATATTAGGAGCTGGTCCCCAAAGGGGAGCAGTGTGGCAAAAGACGAGGATAAATCATGTCCCTGCATGGTTCTCTGAGTCTTTCCCAAGGCTAGGACTGCCCCGTGTAGCAAAATATGTGGGCCTCCAATGGGCACTGGGTTTGATCTTATGGGGCAGTAACAACCTTGGGTGGTGATTCAATTATGGGGGAGCAACCCAAAGGGAAAGTTAAATCCTTTTTCTAGCACTGCAGGCAGGCCGCTGAGCTGCTATTAACATTTAAAAAACAAACCCTCCAAAGATTCTTTCCGATGTTATTAAATCAAAAGTGGAGGGATTCAGTTCTGAATCAAGGACCTTCATCCTTTGGGCTTTGTCTGATTTTTATATAATAGGAGTGATGAAAGGAAAGGGCCTCTTGGGACTTGGGAGGCAGAGAAAGCAAATTCTTAGAAAAGGCTTTCCTGATCAAGTTTGCTTCTTCAGATCAAAATGCTTCAAGGAAAGGAATTAGAACAGCCCTTAAAAAGTTGCTGACAAATACAGCTCTTTCCCCCTCTAGTGGCTGAAATATATATTCAACTTAAAAAGGCCAAACCATATTTAGACCTAGTTTAAGCTTAAGAGTGTATGATAAAAACCCCATCTCCTATTTTCCACCCTCATCTTTCTCAGTTGAAGCACTGGCTTTATTGTATCGAAGCCACGTTATTTAGAACAACATTAGCTCTCCAAATATAAATTTGTGAATTGGGGGAGTGGGTGGGCTAAAATTCAAGAGCCTGACTGGACAACTTAATATGGCTGTATCTCCAACTAAATTTTACTTCAGTTAGTAAGTCCTATCCTAAGTCAGATTAACAGAAAGCTATTGAAAAATTTAGAAAACTGGATTTTTTTGCCAGTTGTTTTTCCAGGCCTGTCTTGACAACCTGCCTAGAAACTGTTCAATTCTTTGAAATTATACTCTATAATAAAATATGGTGGAAAACAAGTATTTGACCATTCTGTGAGATGGTGCATTCAATTTGCTTATCACATACACCCAGCCTTCATCTTTGTTCGTTGATTGTTTTAGATCTATTTCTTAGATCTATATCACTAACCGAGCCGAGGTGGCGCAGTGGTTAAATGCAGCACTGCAGGCTACTTCAGCTGACTGCAGTTCTGCAGTTTGGCTGTTCAAATCTCACCGGCTCAGGGTTGACTCAGCCTTCCATCCTTCCAAGGTGGGTAAAATGAGGACCCGGATTGTTGTTGGGGGCGATATGCTGACTCTGTAAACCGCTTAGAGAGGGCTGAAAGCCCTATGAAGCGGTATATAAGTCTAGCTGCTATTGCTATTGCTATTGCTAATTAACTTAAGACGGCTTGGTGGTGTCTGTTTTAAGTCATTCATGACAGGGGGGAAAAGAAAGGAACCAGCTGGCACAATTGCACATGGTCACACTTAATTATACACCATACCGAGCACGCTGCACCAGTAGGTTATGTCTGCATATTTCTACCTCCCATTTCATGCTTGGAATACCTTCCCCTAGTCTGAACCATGGAAGATTACTTGGGATGACCTCATACAGTCGCAGTTCTTCTCTAGTTTGGAGGAGCAATGTCACAAACCGCATCTCGACTAATCACGGAGCATGGATGGAAATGCTTTCACCTACAGCCTGGGGGCAGGGCGGGGGGGTGGGAGGGTGGCAGTAGAAATTTCTCAGGAGCTTGTTGCTAGGGAGACTACAGCTGAGCTGGGTGGATATTTTAAACCCCCAGACATTTTAACATTTTAGCCAGTTAAAAGATTCTGAAGGAGTGCTTTTGTGGCACACACACACACAGACACACACAGACACAAAGGAAAATGAGAGGGAGGTCTGGAGGTCTGACACTGGTAGGTGAAGATTGATGTTGCAGGTGTTGGTTTAGAAACAGAGAAGTGGAGTGAATCTTTGCCTATACAAGGGGATTCTCCTTGGTTTTAATAGAACTGCTTCCCTCTCCTCTATCTTACCTTATCCCTCCTCTCCTCTCCTATCCCTTCCCCTCCTTCTCCTTTCTTATTTGGTGAAACTTTTTTAAAGAAATGTACCTCTTAAATGCTGAAGCAGAATTTATTGCCCAATTGTAGGGATTGCAAATCAGGAACAAGGGAGTGAATGGATGTTTGTATTTTGGGGGCACTGGATGGTGAAATGCTCTATTTTTGTGTTTTGAATGCATTTGATTTCTCTTTGCAGTTATTGTTCTTTAAGCACATGTTTCTTGAAGATCTAAAATCCTCAGTTTTAACTACAATTTGTAGAAGGCTTTAGTTAGGATGGAAGTTGACTTTGGCCCCATACTGGGCAAATTGCTCTCAGTATAGAAGGGGGTCTTCTAGGCAGAAACCTCCAAGATAGAATCTCTCTGTCCGTTACCAAGTTATGGAAGAGATGGAACAACTTTGCTTCTATATGCACAAAGATTAAAACTTCAATGGACCAAAAGTGGGTTGCTTCCGGTTCGGCCTGGTTCGGCCAAACCGGTAGTGAAATTCAGACCTGGGTCGCAGAACCGGCAGTGACCCAGGCCTGGCATGCCCCCGAACCAGTTCCCTTGCCGCTGCTGATGTCGCTGCCATGTTAGATTTTAGTGATTGCGAGAGTGCTTTTCACTGTAAATTGTTCTGCACAAGCGCACAGAACAATTTCCATTGAACAGCGCACACACGAGAGCAAAGTGAGCATCGCACATGGGTTGCGAACTGGTAATAAAATGGATCTCCTCCTTTGGTCCTTCTAACTCCATATATGGCATTTTGTGATCAACACGAAGTGATTCCCTGCAAAGACCTTGGAATTTACAAGGTCAGAGGAACAGGAAATGCAAAAAAAGATTCAAGGCCAGAGACAAAATATATTTCTGTTTCATCATACTAAGAATTGCATCTCTAGGGAAACTAAAAGCTGTATCAAAAGTTTCATGAGGATGATCAGTAAAAGAGACACATTCCTTCCATTAAAAAAACAAACCCTTAGTATATGTTCACTCTGAACCAGTGATGTGCGGTGAGGTTTATGGCTTGTGAGGCACTGACACAGTGGTGGGTTTCAAATTCTTTTAGACTTGTGGACTTCAACTCACAGAATTCCACAGCCAGGCATGCTCAGTTCTGATTTAAAGCGACAGCATTTTTTCTCCTTTGCGAAATAAGTTTTCCTTCATTCTTTTTCTTCTCCCTTCCCCTCCTTCCTCCCTCTCTCCCTCCCTCCCCCACCTCTCAAACAGACACACGCACACAGAGAAGTTGGATCCCTCTCTTACTCACTCACTCTCTCTCAAACAAACACGAAGTTGGATTGGATATATTTCCCAATG